GTCTTTTGTTTTCTCTTCTAAAAGATCTGTAGCATTTTATAAAACTTTCACCATCCACAAAAAAGCAATAATAATAGTACCCCCCTTGAGGCATTGTGGTTATGGATTGAGTGAGAATTTTTTCAGTGCGAGCACAGTGTCTGAAACATAACAAGTTCTCCATAAAAAGTTGGTTATTACTATACTGCATTTAAAGCTAATGCTTTTATTTACAAATTGTTTGTAGTTGTTAACAGCATAATGATCCAAATATATAGTCATTCCATTGATTTTTGTTTTGGATTAGTTTCTATAGAGTTAGCTTCTTTAAGAAAAACATTTGTCTTAATTTTATAGTATTTTATACTTTTCATAGATAGCTTATTTCAATGACACATGGCTTTGATAGAAAGTCTCTGTATTTCCTTGAATCCTTTTAAATTATATTTTTCTGAAATGCTAACAACAATGGTGGTTAGTAAGGTTGCAAAGGAGTTCCATTTTGGTTAGTCCTGTAGTAAGGAATTGTATGAAAAGTTGGCCACAGGAATTAGGCTGGATACTGAAAGCAAAATTCTCTTTACAAAGTAAAGGCACTAGATTAATCTTTGCCAGATGCCAAATAATTATTACATGTGCTTTAATATGGAAAGATCTCCAGGGTATGTTTGGTAAAAACTGCAGAGTGCAGAACAATGTGGAAAATATGTTCTAGTACATGTTTGAAAATAAATGTAAACAGAAAGTTAGATTGATAGGAATCCAGATAGTTATAGATATATGTGTATGTTTATATAAGCCTAGAACATTTCTGGAAGGATTTACAAGAAACTGTCAGTAATGATTGTGCTAGAGAGAATAACTGAATATTGATGTTAGATGAGAAACATTTTATTACATATTTTTTAGTACTTGTTAAATATTTTATTAGTATTTATTTTACTTTTAAAATAAAAAGCTAGTATAAAAATTAGCACTATCATCAATGATCATTTATTGAATTCTTACCCATTGTAAGGGTAGACTTTATACTCATAGAAACCAATGTTCACAAGCATCTTGCAAGACAAGTAGAAGTTATGTAGCTCGTACAAGAGCTTGTACAGAGCAAGTAAAGGATAGTTGTTTCTCCTGCTCTTAAGTAGAGTTTTCAGAAATTTATAATTCATGGTCACCAGTATAGGTAGGTATTTAGCTCTTTACTAACATAGATAATAAAAATAATTTATTCAATTATGATCTCAAGTCATTGGGATTACAAATTCTGTCACTATCTATCACACCTATAATTTCATTTAAGGTAGAGCCTTAAAATAATGTCTTTCAAACCTGTTTTTTATTTTACCTGTTAGAATAATTTTGTCATGTAACTTTTTTCTCGCTTGGAAATTATAACCAAAATTTACACAAAATCCAATTGGTTTTCTGACTAACCATGTTCTGCCATTCAGTATGAATGTGATATTGCTATTATAACTTTTAAAAGCATTATAAATCACAGTTACAAAAAGTATTGTCTAGCTTATACTATGTCAATTACCTTCTACTTTTAAATGATTTAAGTAAACACTATTATTTATATTTTTTGCATACAAAATCTGTGAAGGGTCTGGGTATTAATCATGTAATGTTTGTTCTGTTGATGATTTCTAGTTGTGATTTGAGGAACTACCATAAAAATGTCAAGGGCCACAAGGAGGTGGCAGCATAGCTACAGCACATTGCAGGTTTTCACTTCTTATATTTGAGGGGGGAAAAGTAAGGGAGTAGCTGAGTCAAATTCACTAGCAAACAATAAAGAGATAAACTGAAGAAGGCCCAGGCTGCTACACATGGAGAGGCAGGCTAGGCCGTACAATTTCAGCAACACTAGAATGGGTCTGGCTGCAGAAATGTGCACATTGTAGATTGTGTGGTTGAATCTGAATTCTACTCCCAATTTGGCTATGTAGATACGTCTTCATGATTTAATCAAGATGAAGTTTCCTAGATAACCGAGCATCAAGTCTATACAAAGAGTAGCTTATTACTATACGCGTTCAAAATGATTATTCAGAGCTTAAGCCTAATTTTTAATATTTTAATTTGCCATTCCTTTGTGTCTAAGAAAAAAATGCTTTAAGTCAAAGTTCAGTCTTTAGTTTCATTTTATCTCTTCAAAAGTGATGCAATATTCCAAACAGCTATTACATTTATCTAATGCAGCTATTTACTGTGTGGTCATTCAGATGGTTTTCTTTTTCTTTCTTTTTTTTTTTTTTTTGAGTCAGAGTTTCACTCTCATTGCCTAGGCTGGAGTACAGTGGCATGATCTCAGCTCACCACAACCTCTGCCTCCCAGGTTCAAGCAATTCTCCTGCCTCAGCCTCCCAGGTAGCCAGGATTACAAGCATGTGCCACCATGCCTGGCTAATTTTTTTTTTTTTTTTTTTAGTAGAGAAGAGATTTCAGTTGGTTATGGCTGGTCTTGAATTTTTGACCTCAGGTAGTCCACCAGCCACAGCCTCTGAAAGTGCTGGGATTACAGGAATGAGCCACCACACCCGGCCTTTAGATGGCTTTCTAAACTCCTGATCCTTTAGAGCTTTTCTCCCTTTATTGAAAGATTTACATAAGCCATGGCTTTTGCAATTATAAATAAGCTACTTTTCTCTGGAATGTCAGTCCTAAGAACAATGTGAATTTATTCCATTTCTTTTTTAATGAAGTTAGAATTCTATTTTCTTTTGTTGTAAATTGGGGAAGTAGGTGAATGAGAATATTTAAATTGTGATACTAACTTTAAAAAAGGAGGCAGCTTTAAAAATTATCATGCGTGATGTGGTAGAGTATTGTGGGATAGAATTTCAGGTCTTTTTAAAAAAGAACTTTGATTCATTTTAATTCTTCAGAAACAATTGAAATATCTTTTTACGATGCCCTAAATTTCTTTCTGCCTTTTCCATGTCTTGGAAACTCCTGGTGGCTGCTTCTGTCAACCTTCTTTTCATTTTTCTTCTCCTTTTTCTCTCTGCCATTTTCCTTTCCTTTCCTGACACAGAAAAGGACAGTGACATCTCAGCTGCATTTCAAGAGTTCAGATTGCCTCCCTTCTCAAAAATCTTCATGGAGCTACCATGTTGTCTGAAATTGTTGCATTGCTAACTTCTTTTGATTAAAGCATCACATATGCCAGATAAAATCTAAATCTTAGGCCTATAAGGAAACCAGCCATTTGGCAGACTGTTGCCTATTTAGTACACAGGACTAGTAAGGTTTGGTGGGGAAAGGGGATAAGGAAACAAAATTAAAAACATGAACTCCTCCTCAGGAAGTCACTCAGTCTCTGGTGGTAGGACCCAGAGTCAGGGACCGTAGCAGCCAAGGCAAATACATTTTAGAGATGGATTTTCTTGAGGAAGGAAAGGTGAGCAGAAACTAAAGGAAGATTTTCCCCTTTATTAGCATCTTTCCTAAGAGTAGTATTCCTAGACTTTCTGGAGTGGATGACCATTTAAAAAAATATTGAAGGAATGAATGGATGAATGCACACAAAATGAACTGTTTCAATCATTTTCTTCTCTCTCCTCAAAACTTGGGCAAGAGTAAACTCATTTGAATATGTGACATCTAATCATTCTTTTTAGCAGGTAATTATATTTCATAAAGAATGATGTTTATTCCAAACTGGTCTGGAAGAGCAGGAAGATAAAGTTGATCAGTATATTTTGGAGAAAGTTATGGAAGAAGAAATCTACTAAGTTATAAGGTTGGAGGCTGGGTGTGTGGTGGCTCATACCTGTAATCCCAGCACTTTGGGAGGCTGAGGTGGGCTGATCACCTGAGGTCGGGAGTTTGAGACCAGCCTGACCAACATGGAGAAACCCTGTCTCTACTAAAAATACAAAAAAATTAGCTGGGTGTGGTAGTGCATGCCTGTAATCCCAGCTACTCGGGAGGCTGAGGCAGGAGAATCGCTTGAACCTGGGAGGCGGAGGTTGCGGTGAGCCGAGATTGTACCATTGCACTCCAGACTGGGCAACAAAAGAGAAACTTTGTCTCAAAAAAAAAAAAAAAAAGATTAGAAAAAGTGCTGCGTCATACTTCTAACACACTTGGGAACCCTGGCTGTATTTCTTAAATAATGAAAAGTTTAGCCACTTCTACTGCTTCTGTACTTAAATTTAATTTAGTTATTTTTATATGCTTAAGCACATTCAGGAGCCTCAGGCAAAGTTTTAAAGAGGAAGGGATAAAATGCTGAATCTTATAAATCTCTGCCCTCTCTTTAAAGAATATAAAATTACCCCTATGCACTAAAGGCTGGCACCCACAGTATTAACTACAGCAAGCACAAATGTTTTGCTTTTTATACAATGGACATAGAGACATTAATACTGACGTGAAACCAGCTTGATATTCAGTTTGACATGTTTAACCAAGTGTAAATTGAGTAGGCTATCATCATAAACAAGGTACAACATATTGCCTAACGTTTAGAGTTAATTCTTTAGTTCTCTATCCTAAGTCAGAAAACATCTGTGGAGCTGGGCACAGTGGCTCATGCCTATAATCTCAGCTCTTTGGGAGGCTGAGGTGGGAGGATCCCTTGAAGTTAGGAGTTCGAGACCAACTTGAGCAACACTGCAAGACTCTGTCTCTATAAAAAATAAAAAAGTCAGTCAGGTGTGGTGGTGCATGCCTGTAGTCCCAGCTGCTTAGGAGGTTGAGGTGGGAGGATTGCTTGAGCCCAGGAATTCAAAGCTGCAGTGTCCACCACACTTCAGGCTGGGTGACAGAGCAAGACTTTGTCTCAAGAGGAAAAAAAAAAAAATCCAAAGAAAAAAGCATCTGTGAAACACTTTTTTGTGTATTTTCTGTTTACTGGGAACTAGAGACAGTTTTGTAAGTAAGATGGATAGTGTTTGGAATAGACCTCTCCATTTGACTCTTTCACATTCATTCATAGTGTAATGAAAGAGAAGGAAATGACCTGAAGTTATGAATAAGGGAGGACACTTGCCTGTGTCCTTCAAGCTCACCTTTGCGAGTTGCTCATGAATCTCAAGCAGGCTGGGTCGGTTGACCTTGGGTCCACTGATGCTGCCGGTGTTGCGATAGTACTCTATCTTGGGAACAGCATCCATGGTGTTGTGGCCAAAAGTTTGTAAGTAGTATGTGTTTGTGTGAGAATCATAAGCATGAAAACTGGCATCTGTTTTAGCAGTTTCTCCACTTTGGAGGAAATTGTCATAGCACTCCTGATTCCCAGGCCTAAAGCTGATTCTGAGTCTTTTCTGAGCCTCATCCCCAAAAGAGGTTTCTTCATAATGTGGTGGGTCAGTGTTGTCATTTGCCGCTGCACTGCTCTCATGGTTCTCATTTATGACATTAACTTGAAAGCGATTGGTATTACTGGGCACTGAATCCAGAAATATGTTGGAAGAGTTGTTCAGTGACATCTTCCAAAATTGATTTTTTACTGAGCTATCTACTTTATGGTTGTGTTAAAAAATCTATATATTTCTTCATCAAAATAAACACTAATGTGCTTCCATTAGGGAGCTCCTGGCTTTTGTTCTAGACCATTCAATAAATAAATTCTTGATATATTGTCTCCTATATAATCTTCAGGATGTTCTTCAAAGCTGTCATTGAAAAAGAAAATTAAACTTGTTTCAAGTAATACAAATATATTTAGGTGAGGGTGGGATATAAGGGAACAGTTTTGTTTTATAAGACATACAATTTTAAACTCATTTCACTAAAATTTATCTGTCCAGGAACCTTAGTCATGTGAGTAATTAAATCCAATAATAAATAACTGGAAAACTGTTCCAGCAAACAGAATTTCCAATGCAGTCATTAAAATGTTACCTGTGTTTGTAGTGTTTGCTTGGATTCAGTGCACTGGAGTTCACTATGACTTTAGGACAGATGTAATTTTACCTATTGAATACAGTAAGACCTGATGAGAATGTTCTTAGCCTAAGACATAGTTCACTGACAGTACTAAATACTGAAACTGCAAAGTATTTTGATTGATAGGAATATACACTATATGACATGTAAAATGAAAGACAAAACTTCTAAAAAATATATTCTTGCTAGTTTATAAAAATCTGTACATGTTCAACTAATAAATTGGTTCCAAATTTTGCTACCTATACAACAAGTAAAAAATTATGTTTTAGAATATGCATTTAAAAAATACATCCCATCAAGATGATGTCTCTGTGAATTCTTGGATCTTTTACAAGATCCAAATATTTCGTTTGCTCATACATTTGTTTGTTTTGCAAATACTAACATGATACCTTAAAAATATGAATATAGAAATAAGTCATATATCTATAAGAAATAAGTCATGTACCTTTAAAAAGTCCTCTGTTATATTTAGGTAAAATAATTATGCTTTACTGACTCATTTTAATGAAATGTCCTCAATAATGAGAGGTTTATATTTGACTGTGAGATGAATAGACTTCACAATAATTTTCACAATTTCATAGTACTGGCCTGTCTTAAAACACTTTCTTTAGAATTATATTTCCTTATTTATATCTTAAAATTCAGCTTTTCAAGGGAAGTTCTAGAAACATGAGATAAATATAAATAAAAACTTGTCTCTCTCATGCAATTATTAAAGCTGTGTATTTGCATTAAAAAAACCCTCAACTTCATTTCTCAAGTATCCTTTCCTGGGGAAATTGTAAATGAAGCTATTGTCTTTTTAGTTTTTAGAAAACACTTCTCTTCATAGTGCTTGACACCCTCACCTACTCGTCAGAATCTACTTTATAACACAATATTAAGTATTATTTTTACCCTGCCCAGAAATGTTCAACTTACCACCAAGGAGCCTTCTTCCGAGGAAACGTAACCTGCTTCAGAGTCACCCAGGAATATATGGGGCACTTAGCTCTTTCAGCCCAGAATGTTAGGCTTCTGCTTATTGGTTAGAAACTTTCTTGAAGGAGATGACTGTGCAATGATTGGCCTGGAATAGTACTGTAAGCCCTACCAGGTCATTAGCCCTGAGGAACCTTAAGCACCACATCAACTGGTAACTAGTAGTAAACCATTAATCCTTTTAGACAGGAAGTAACATAGAGTTTCTTTAATTCATAAGGACAATTGCATTGCTTAATAGCAATTGTCCAAAAAATGTGAGCATTGCATTAGTCATTTGGGAATAGATTAATTGAGTTCCACTGTCTTGTTTCAGATGAGCCCTAGTGACCTCCTGTTGTTTAGCATGTGTAACAAAATATAGTTCTCCAGAGATAATTTCTATACTCTGTAACTAGAAAGTAGTATCTGAAATGATTTTATCTTGCTTGTGGTAGATATTACCTTGAGTCTTTTGCATGGGAAATAAGTAGATTGGGAGTGGAATCAATGATTTATTGAAAATATTTTTATTTTGGGAAATACAGGAAAACTGTTTTTTTTTGTTGTTGTTTTTTGTTTTTGTTTTTGTTTTTGAGACGGAATCTCGCTCTGTTGCCCAGGTTGCGGTGCGCTGGTGCAATCTCGGCTCACTGCAACCTCTGCCTCCCAGGTTCAAGCGATTCTCCTGCCTCAGCCACCTGAGTAGCTGGGATTACAGGTGCCCACCAGCACGCCTGGCTAATTTTTTTGGTAATTTTGGTAGAGATGGGGTTTCACCATGTCGGCCAGGCTGGTCTCGAACTCCAGACCTCAGGTGATCCACCTGGCTCAGCCTCCCAAAATGTCGAGATTACAGGTGTGAGCCACCGCGCCCAGCCGGGAAAACTGTTTTAAGCAGGAATCAAACTGTGGGTAAGTATCCCAGTGGCACTACTAAATGACCTGTCTCCAACTGGAAAAACATTTTTTTGTCAAATTCAGTTTTTGAGTTTTGTTGAAGAAAAGATTTTTCTTTTTCAGATTTGCAAGTAGGTGATTATTAACACAGCAAACAATTCCTCCCTCAGGTCTGTCAATGATTTTCAATCAGGATGATTGAATGAGTCCTCTTGGTTTCTTATAAGAAACGACTCAAGTGATTTCCAGTTGTCTGAATAGCTCAGTTGTGGTGTAATATAGTGGCTAGGAACAAGACTCAAGTCAGAAAGCCCAATTTATGTCCTGGCCCTCCCACTTGCTGTCTGTGTGAACTCAGTCAAGTTACTCAGTCTTTCTGTGCCTTAATTTTCTCATGTGCAAATGCAGATGTGGATAATCATTGTACCTACCTTGTTGTAGAGTTATTTTGAGGAATGAATGAGCTAGTTTGTGTATGGGGTTTAGAACAGCAACGATTTTTTTTTAGCTTTATATAGTTTTTTATTTGCCAATTTAAAAATAATTTTCTTCCCCCTTTAAACTATTAATCTCTTGATTACCTGTTCCATTGCTCTACACTGTTGTTAGTTAAGCAACCCTAAATTTACACCTTCAAAGGGATGACAGGTGAAAGTTTACATCTCCAAGGCATAGAACTTAGATCTAAACACCATTATTTGCTGAAACAAAAAGGACATGAATAAAGGCCCACTCAAAACGAGATTGTCAGGAAAAGTATCCTAAACAAAGGTAAGATGTGGTGTATAAACGTTAAACCAATGTCTTTTTTTTTTTAAATATACTTTAAGTTCTAGGGTACACGTGCACAACGTGCAGGTTTGTTACGTAGGTATACGTGTCCCATGTTGGTGTGCTGCACCCATTAACTCGTCATTTACATTAGGTATATCTCCTAATGCTATCCCTTCCCCTCCTCCCCACCCCACAATAGGACCCGGTGTGTGATGATCCCCTTCCTGTGTCCAAGTGATCTCATTAGAACAGCAACAATTTGTACTTAGTGCTTGCTTTTACTATTTTAGCACTATTTACAATTAGCTGGAGATTTTTTCTTAGCACATTCAAGATCGTGAGGTGAATCATTAGAGATTGGGATAGATATTTTGTCTATAAAAATAAGTGTGAAGGTAAGTTAGTGAACTGATTCAGGATTATAGAAGTGTCTAGAGACACCTAAGTAAAACCCTTTAGATTCTCTTCCTCAGGTAAATGTCATGCTAATCAGTCAGGCTAATGTCGTGAGGCCATATCAGAAATAAAGACAGAATTACAAGTATGTACCTATAACTCATTCCACTCTTGAAGGCCACCAGTACAAGGCATTTATCTGTTCAACAAAGGGTTCTGATTCCTCATATAGAAAGTGTTTTGGCACAGGAATGTCCCCTTTCAAATTCAGCTGGTTGTTTATATCAAGACAAGGGACAGCTAGGATGGGGCTGGGACCCAAAACAGGTCCTATTCACCAGACCAGGACAGAAGCCATGAGCTGACATCCTTCAACCCTTTCGGGAGCCACGTATTTACTCTGCAACCTTTTTCCTCTACCAATGACTGAATACCTCTGATACCAGTCAATTTCCTTTTTCTTGCTGGCTGACTGCCTGACTTCAGAGTGGTATGAATTTGTTTTAGTCTTGGTCTTACATCAACCAGACATTTTCATTCTAAGCCTTTTATCTCTTATTGTGAAATGAAAGTCTTTGTTCTCTATTAAGGGGATTCGGGCATCCTGGAACAAATGGGAGATGGTTTTGGGGGATATGGATGAAATTACACCATCCATAAAGCCAACCTTGAAAGGCGAATCCGATTTAGGCCTTTCAGACAGGCGGGAAAGGTAACAGGAGCAAGCTATCTTGAGGTATGCTCCTCTATCTTTCCTCTGACCTCTCTGACAAGGCTTTTGGGAAGGGGAAACTAGAGGCTGATCCAGCTGTGACATTGAACATCTATTCCTAGAATAATTAACATTTCATGAAATTTCCATGTTGTTTTCATATTGTAACCAGCCTTTTATATGTTTTATATTCTTTCTGTTTCTGAAAATACAGATGCTGACTTTTCTATCCCCCCAACACCCCCCCACCAAAAAAAGAAAAAAAAAAAACAAAAACAAAAAACTAAGGCACCCAATAGACCACAAATAAAAACCACAGATGAAGACACTTTTGGTTAATAGAATTTTTCTTTAGTGGATTTGGAAATAATATTATGGTAGAGTTGATATACTTGAAAAGCTTATGGGAGTTGAACTTCCAGAAACAATGCTCATATTTCATAAAGTTTTCTTGGTTGTAGAGGTCTTTCTTCTTTTGAAATAAAGATCTGGCCTTGGTTTGTTCTAGTGATCAAAATGGAGGGTCTTGGTAGGTGTCTTCTCTGGGAGACAAGTGAAACATCTGGTACTTTAAAAGACTTGGTCAATAAAGAGACCTAGTTTCCTGGCACACACAATTTTCAGTACATTCAGCTGAACTTGGCCCAGTGACCTGTTCTTGGGCCAAGTTACTAACTGGCTATGAGATGTGTACCAGGCCTACACTCTTGAACCAACTGGGGTATAGAGAGACTCCTTGAGATGAGGATCTGATCCAGAAGATCTACAGCTAATAACAGATATGTTCTAAATCTATTATGAGATGGAAAGCATCAAGGAATCTCACAGAGACAGGTGGTTTTGGAATTCTGTAGACCTGAGCAGTAACCATGTCTATAAGCTATGTAGAAGTGTTGAGGACAGTGTCTAGGGATACAGCAGAAATTAAACTGCCCAAGTTCAATCCCTAACATAACCATTCCCTAGCTATGGTGACCTTGGGAAGCTAGTTAATTTCTCTCAGCTTCAGTTTCTCTTCTGCAAAATTAAGATTAAAAATAAAATGGACATAGTAGTCTTCAACTCAAATAATTGATAAGAGCATCAAATAAATTGAAAGTAACTAATTTAGTGCTACCCCTTGGCAATATTAGTCTTGTTCCTTTGTGGTATGTTTTGCAGTTGTGTGTTTTCAAAGGACATGAATATTTTTGTATTTATCTCCTGCTATGTTCCTCCATTCTGACTCATAGAGAGTCAGAAGTTTGTAGTTGGAAAGAAGTTAGAACTATATAATTCTATCTTTTTATTTCTCAATTGAAGAGAATGAAATACTAGAGAGATTGAATAATTTACACTAAGCCATTGCTTCTTAGGGTTTGAGACTATTACTGCTACTGATGAGGACAATAAATAATGATAGCAAGGTATGTTTAGATACTGTTTTATGGTTTACAAAATGCTTTCACATTCATTATATCTAATTGGTCCTCTCAGTATTCCTGAAGATATGCAGGATAGGTTTCTTAATTCTTGTTGTGGAAGATAGGTTCCCCTTAGGTAACTTTCTGGGTCATAAAGCTAGTTCTTGGCTAAGCTAACATTAGAATTCAAATCTCTGAGTTTAGGCTCCTAATCTGAAAAACTTTTCATGATATCTTAAATCCTCATTCGTTTCAGATCTCTGGATTTTCAGGTACATTTGTAGCATTCATAGGGCACTAGAATTGAAAAAGATGTTAGCACTCCTCTTCACTGAAGCTCACAGAGATTAGATGACTTACCCATTAGAGCATAGCTGTACTGGTGGCACAGCTGAGACTGTCTTTGTTTCTGCTTACAGTACTCTATCCACTAGGTCATGCTGGAAACTCCCTTTTAAATTCTATTTATGCAAGGGGTAGGGGAGGGAGCATCAGTATGAGTCAGGTCTGGTTTGGATTGCAAGCTATGGGATTTTACTGCAAGAGATTCGACAAAGAGGACAGATAGGAGGGTCAGGGCTCTGTGAAATTTGGGGACCTTTAGGGCCTGTGACAACTTGTAGGCTTTGGGTGTTAGATTTTTGAGATATTTTTTCACCTGTGAATGTTTTTGACCTATGGCTATCATTAGACAAATAATATTTTGATTATTCTTTGGACTAAATTCTCTGTTTCAGACCTGACTTACTAAAGCTAAAGGGGTCTGAGTCTGCAATGTGGAGGGGGTGCCTGGGCTTTGCAGAAGG